TATATATATATATATATATATATATGTGTGTGTGTGTGTGTGTGTGTGTGTGTGTGTGTGTGTGTGTGTCTTATTTATACTTAGGAGGAGATTGTTAAAATCCCACTTGTAGAGTGTAAGTAAGAATTCTCTTACTCTAATCTTTTAGTACTTAGTCGATTGAAGCAGTCTGGACCAAGAGCTCTTATGCAGAAGATACTAAGAGACAGAGCTCCTACTCAAAGAGCTAAGTGTCTCACGTACAGAGCTCGTGCTCAACCCAGAGGAAGATCAAGACTTAAGCGTAAAAAAGCATAAGTACTTGATGCAGAACTACATTCCAGACACAAAGCCTTTGTACAATATATGCAGAGCCTCTGAGTCTCCTTTCATGATTTGCGCACATAAAGGGTCGTTTCGTATTATATGAAAATAATAGGATAAAAACCTGAAATTTGTAAAGGCAAACGTAAAAAACCAATTAAATATATTATTAAACTGATATAATATAAAAAATACATATCCTTTTATAATTATTATTGTTTTATTACATTAAATTCAGGGGCTCCACCTACCTATTCTGTTAACAAATGACCAAAATAAATGACTACATTGAGCCAGGAGCCCCGTCTCATAGATAAGGAACCCTCCCATGCTTTTAAACATATAGCATTCAGAATTTTAAAATAATTAATATTTATATTTAATTATAAATAAAAAAATAGGCTTTTAACATCTTATTTTTCATCTATATAATCAAACTATTTCTATCAACCGAATTTGTTTTTATTTATTTAATTTTCAAGTAAAATGCACACGTTTCAACAAATGAATTAGTTGTTGTGTACCCGTGCAATGCGGCGAGAGCCATGAATTTTAACGATTTTGAAGTTCCACTGGTTTTATAAGATAAGATTTAACGATGATATAGGTTACACTTGGTCTTTACATATTAATACAATTTGAATAAATAAGAGTTATGGTTCCAATTATAGACTATCGATGAAAAAAATTATATGACAGTTTAAAATCCAATATATATAAAATCCAACATATTTAAACGACTCCACAAATGTATTCGATTTACAGTAAGAGCAAAGAACCAAGAAACTTGAGTTTTAAGATAAACACTAAAAACCAATAAAGAAAATTACAAATTTGACAGATCATAAGTCATGAAAAAACAAAAAAAAATGAGTTTTAGAATGAAATTTCAACTGCTTACCCTATTTCTTGTCCAGAAACTCAGATTAAGGTTGAATTAATACATATATATATATATATATATATTTCAAAAAAACCTAAGAACATATTAATTCAAAACATATTATACAGTGCAATTTGAACAGCCTAGCCCCAAAATATATAGTATATATATAAATAAATAATTATAAAAGTATAAATCGTAAATATTACAAATACTTTTTCATAGTATATATAATATATAATAATATAATTAAGTCAAAAACTATTCAATATTRRACTYATTTCGAAGGTATTAACGAGACGATTATAATGGTGTAATTTGTTAAAATAAAAATGTATTTTTTAAACATGTTTTAATTGATATACGATTATGTATGTTAATTTGATAAATGTTTAAAATGAAACATTTGAAAATAAAGGACGTAAAGTAAATAAATTAATTAATTATAGGGGTATAAAATGTAAATTTAAAATTATAATTTTAAAAAAATCGGTTGTGAGAGGGTGAATGTATGTGATGAGAGAAGGGGGTGAATGTATGTGATGAGAGGAGGGGGTGAAAAAGTGAGTATAAAGAGTATTTTGGTCATTTAATATTTTAAGACTTCAAGACATTTGCTAAATTTGCTTAATAAAATAGTATAGATAATTCTGATGGCTACTATTAACTATCTTCACCTTCAACCTTATTTTGAATCTAAAAAAAAAATACAATGTTCGAAAATAAATAAGGACGTCGTCTTGTTTTTCGATTGATCCGTTACACTCAACTTTCACATAGTGTTTATATCTTTGAAGCAATGAACTCTTCATGAATGTAACATCCCAAAACTCATAATATCCAACAATCGAATTAAAAACCAAACCGGCAATAATATCAGCAAAATATAATAATTTCTCAATACATCTCAAAAGTTTGCAGAGGAAATACAAGAAACCGACAACTGAGAATTATTATAAACTAAAGACAAGGAAGCTAAAGACATCGCATATTTCCCTCTTCCTTCGAGCCACTCTCAACCTGGTACTTTCCTGAAAATGATTTTATTTTTGAAAAGCGAGGATTAGATCAAAAGGTCTAAGTGAATTCCTTCAAAACATGACAATATTTATAATAATGGTAAAAGGTAAAGCCAACAATAGACAACGTAAGAACACATTCCCTTCACATGGACATTGCACGACATTTGTAGCAACCTGTCACATACAGACGTGATAAATAAAATAATCAGGCCCCTAAAAGGTGCATATCCAATGTGTTCAAGTAACGAATTCAAGGCCACACGAATTAAACTCCCAAAAGATGTTATCATCTCAAGGTACTCTACATATGTTGTGCAATTCTACACACCCCAAATAGCCACATATAGCTCAATTCCTATAAATCGTGTAGAGGACAGATTTGCATACAAAAGGATCAATTCATAAAACCATAATCACAATTACAAGTCAAGAGGTTTAATATAAGGGAACTCACCTACCGTTCTGCACTCCAAACCAAGCCTAACGGCTAGAAAACTCAAACCGAACGACTGAATTAGTCACATTAAGAAATGCGTTAACTCAAGTTAACCCCCCCCCCCCCCAAAAAAAGTCTTCTAATATAATTCCCTAAAGGGCCCCTAGAATTAAGGGTTAAATCCCAACTCAAAACTATAAACGAAACTGCAAAACTGAAACAATAATAAAGGAAATCTATAGCATTTAATTCACTTTTCTAATAGAGAAAAATCCCTCGGTCAATTGGAAGAAAGCGACGACGAGTGAAGAGAATTATAGGTTCAAGTTCATGTGAATTTTTTTGAGATACAACTTGCGGTTTGGAGGTAATTTTTCCATCTTTAAATTAGCTGTTATTTTCTATAAGTGGACACACAACAGTTGATTGGCTAGGCTTGGACGATCTTGGGTTGCAACAAACTTTATGGCCAACAGTTGGTGAAAACCCCATTGCTGGGTCCATTTTGTTGAGATTGGTTGTTATACGTAAGATAAATTACTTTGATATCCTTTATTTATCAATTAATGATAATCTTGAGTTAAAAAAGATGCAAAATAATTATAATTTAATTAAAAGACAATTTTCTAATAGTAATTGAATCTTGATGAAATGTCCATGTTGAAATTCTATTGAGTTTTTGGTACTCTAAAAAAGAATTGAATACCATCCGTTCATTGACACATCATAAATATGAGGCTATATATTAGATGGATGGAACGGGTCAAATGCATTTGAATAATTCAACCTAACGTTTGTGGTTTGAAAAAGTTAATCCAACCAAGCCGAACAGAACTTAACCCAATCCAAACCGTGCTGGTTGGGTTGAAACTTTGCTAGATCATTTTATAGTTAATAAGCGATTGTGTTTAAAAGAAGTATAATGAAAATGAGAACATATGAATGAGGCTAACATATTCAAAGAAAAGTTGAAGGTTAATGAAAATAAAAAAGTAAAATTTCAGTTGAAATTGTGATATAATTATGAATAGAATTAATTACGAGTTGGTCTAATGTCTAAAGTACATATATTAATTAAGGATTTGAACAATAATATTCCTCCGTCCCAAAATAAGTGTCCACAATTGAAATAAGACACGATCTTAGTCATGCATAATTATTACATTTTTTGATTAATCAAATGACATCTTTACCCTTATTTAATTTCTCTCTTCAAAAGTCTTAAATATTTATGCACCAATTAAGGGTAAATGAGAATTTGGTTATTTACTTTTGAAAATGGACACTTATTTTAGGATGGAGGAATATAAAAAAGAATCAGGGTTCATTGGGTTGGGTTAGGCTCAAATGATCCTAACCCAATTCCAAGACCATACCTAGGAATTGAAGATTTTACAACCCGATTAAGTATCGAGTACTTTTGGGTTGGGTTGGATTGGTTATTTTGCCGGGTTAGTTGGGTTAGTTGGGTTTTTGTACACCCCTACCAAAACACAACTTGGAAATATATCAAGCCCATAAGGGAGAAAATCGGGAAAAAAAACGCCTAGAAGCATAATGCGGTTCTGTCAAGTTCCCAAATAGTTTCAGATATGATTATGAGGTTGTTTAGGATTGCCTATTTCAAGCAACTTATGTTTTTCTACAAAAGGACTTATCAACTTATTACAAGTCAGAAGAGTTTAACTTCTTCAAAACAAAAACTCCTTATTACCGATTTGGAACCGGTATAAATTGTTTATCCAAACACTTAAAAGTACTTATTACCAGTGTCACACCATAATAAGTCAATAAGTTGTAATCGGATGGAGAACAAACTTGGTTGAACCAGATCCATGTTCGTGAACTTGGGACTGAGGGTTTGGCTGGATTTTTCTGTTGGGTTATGCCAATGACCTAAAAATAGTTGGACCGTCGTACAACTTCAAGAAATATTGATATGAATAGGCCCAATGGGCTATATGAAGATTCATAAACACAAAAAATGTTTCTTTATTTAATCGATTTTTGTCTTGAAGAAGATTAAAAACAATAATAAAAACATTTCAAAAACAAATGCATGTGGTTTTCATGATATTATTAAGTGATTGTTTGTCAGTTGTTAAATGGTTTGATATAGAATGATTAAGTGTTCTTATGATATAATAGAAAATAAAATATAATTATTTAATAATTATTTATAATAAAATTAAGATGGTGACTGATAATTTTTTTTAACCAACAAATGAGCATAGCTAGAATTGATGGTTGGCAAGGGACAATGATGGAGCAATTGTTTGAAGTATTGGACCGATGTGTAATGTTAAAGAGAAATTGGAAATGAAATATAGCACACACGCCTTTGGCTGCCGCTATCGATCAGCCCCATATCCATTGCCGACGCTGTCGGCAAATCCGCATCCTTCTCTTCTCTTCTCTATCTCTCTCTGGAAACGTAAAACCTAACAGCTCTCTCTCTCCAAAAAAAATCAATTTCTTTGACGCAGATCCGGGTACGTAACGTTAGTTTGAGTCAATCAAACGCCGATTGGATCTTACCGGCGTAACGTTGATAATGGCGGCATCACGGCGTCTCCGTGACCTACAATCGCAACCGGGCAACAGGATCTGCGTTGATTGTTCACAAAAGAACCCTCAGTGGGCCTCTGTATCCTATGGAATCTTTATGTGCTTAGAGTGTTCCGGAAAACACCGTGGCCTCGGCGTCCACATATCTTTCGTCCGATCTGTCACCATGGATTCATGGTCCGAGATCCAGCTATGTAAGATGGAATCCGGCGGCAACGAGAACCTTAACAATTTTTTGGCCAAGTATGGGATCCCTAAAGAAACCGATATAATTGCGAAATATAATTCCAACGCGGCATCGGTTTATCGCGACCGGATCCAAGCCTTGGCCGAAGGTAAACCATGGCGGGACCCGCCAGTTGTGAAGGAAAGCCCGATCAAAGGTGGCACTAATAAGAAACCGCCGATGCCGGGCGGGGGCGGAGGCAGGGCTGGTAGTAATCGGGGAAATGGAGGGTGGGATGATAATTGGGGGGATGGTTTTGACGATGAAGGTTTCAGATCTCCGGATAATATGAGGAGAAATCTGACAGTTGGAGATTTTAGAAGCGGTAGCGGTGGTGGTGGCGCTCCGTCTAGGTCGAGATCTAGTCAGGGTTTGTATACGCAGTCGCAATTAACGGCCTCTGCAGCCGGAAAGGAGGATTTTTTCGCCAGGAAGATGGCGGAGAATGAATCAAAGCCGGAGGGATTGCCTCCCTCGCAAGGAGGGAAGTATGTTGGGTTTGGGTCGTCGCCAAATACCATGCCACGGAGTAATTCTCAAGGGGATGTTTTCTCTTCGGTTACTCAGGTACGTCGGAATGCATGCTAAATACTGAATATAAAATTCTCATTTCATTTTCTATTATTTACATTCAGTTTGTATTTGTTGTGTGTAACATGTGTCCATTGACATCCTAATGGGGTTTTCTTCATCTATATTAAGATAGTAGCTATGAGTATGTTTGAATTTTGGGGAGAATGCTGATGGTAAATGCTTAACTTGAGTGTACAGTGATAACAAAACATAGTTAGATGTTGTAGCTGATCTTGGGCATCCATGAATCACAATCAAGTTGATATACAAAATCAGTGTACAATGATGAGAGAACATATTAAGATAGGACTGTGTATAACAGTATGTCTAAAGTAGTCCTATGATGTACAAATTCAGATGATCATTAGTTTTTTAATTGATTTATTAAATAGTGGAGATCATGTAAATCTGAAGTTGTTAATTAAACATCTATTATAAATTTGATTTAACTAATATCAAAATGTATATGAATGTACATATGTATCACATAAATATATCAACCTTTTATGCCGAGTTGGGTTTATCCAATTGATTGGAACATGTTTAGAATAACCTAGAGCCATTGAGTTTAAATGCAATTCTCGTATATTGACAATGAATTACCAGGGGTGTTTCTACAGACGAGACAAAATCACTCTCACCGTCCCACCATTGTGGTTTCATAGATCTTATATACAGATACATATTTATGTATATGTGTGTGTATACATATAAAGTAATAGGCATTCAAGCATCAACAGACATTAAATGGAGGTTTCCAGGATACTTGAATTACAGAAACTACCGTTCAGGAGGTTACATTGACTCACAAGCAAACATTTTTTTTCCATGCTTGAGTCAGCGTTGGGGCTCTACGATACAAATCTAAATCTATTATGTTTATTTTTTATCTAGTTTTTGGTTTGATAGGTAATTTGATAAGTTGGCCATTGGGGAAAAAGAGGGTTTTACTAGCACTTTTAACTTGATCTACTTGGCTTGGTTAGCTACTCATATAAATGACCAATAGGAGCTTAATTTTAATGGTTCATGTTGTTGTCTAATCTGCCTTTCAATCACAATAATTAGGATATAACCACCTTTGGTTTACTGAGACTGCATATGAGTTTTTGTTTTTAAAAACCTTATGAAAATACTTGAGGATTTGTTACTCATGGTTTACGTTTGATTTCAATAAACATGTTTCTGCAGGGAATTGGTAAGCTCTCTTTTGTTGCTGCATCTGCTGCACAGTCGGCTGCCAATGTGGTTCAAGCTGGTACAAAGGAGATCACAACAAAGGTTTTTCTAGTCCCATCCTTGCTATATATTTTTGTGTGAAAATGTTTGATAGAGTTTAGGTAGCTTTCTTTTTCTAGCAGGACCACTTTTGTTTGCACTTATGCTCTTAGTGTAGTTGATATCCTGTCACTTCTATTGCCCGTTCTATCTTGAATTTCACATGGGAGTTGCCATGACAGAAACATATGAGATGGCCTTGATGGTCATCTTTTGAGCACTGTGACACTGTTTCTACTGCTGGGTCCCCGTTCACCTTTCAGCCATTTCTGCTGAAGGCAAAATAAAGTAAGAGCATGCAATAAACTATAAATACCTATGGCCTGCAATAGTTTTCCAACCAACTTATGTTATAAGGAATTTAGCTAGTATAGAATATTTATAATATAACGTGATGTTTCTGCCTCTCCCGTCTTCATGTTGCTTGAACATCTTTCATAGTTCTGAACAACTTCCTGTACAACCTCTGTCTGATATTTTCCCCCAGGACTTTTTTCTGTTTGAATTAGCCTGTCATGCTCTTATAGTGGTTTTGGTCATTTATATAACAGAGCAAGATGCTGATCTAATCAGAGTAGGACAATAATGTTATGATTTCCCAGCAACTGGAAGAACTTGGTTGAAGAACATAAGACACTGTTATCAGCGTTGTATTTGGCGGAGGTTGCATAAATACTGATTCAGATTTACGATCCAGAAAAATTTCTAAAGGGGGACACAAAATAATTAGAATAATATATAGTAAAACAAAGGGTAAATTGCGGATTTGGTCTCTGTGGTTCGGTGGTTTTTATGAAAATGGTTCCTGAACTTCATTTATTACAGATTAGGACTCGTCGTATGTCGTTTTGTAACGGATTCGTTAACCTTGAGGGCATTTTCGTCCGTGTCCTTTTGTTGTCTTACTCAAGGGACCAATTTCGTAAAAACCACATAAACCATAGGGACCAAATCCATAATTAAGTCTAAAAATGTATTTTTTTTACTTTGAGTTTCTTAAATTAATTAATTAATTATTATACTTTAATATAAATTAATTATTATATTTTAAGTTCAATCTTAATATATAATATATTTCTTCTTTCAAAAAAATATGTACGCGCATACACACACATATGTATATATACACATATAGTGAGGTTCAACCGTTTATCGGAAACCCACCTCTATCAACCATTAGATTAATTGATTCAACAAGTGATTTGATGGACGTTTATGACAATATTTTTTTAAATTAAAAAATTTCACCAACCCTAACTTTTATTTGAAAAAAAGCGAAATATAAACAAAAATCGAGTGAAATAAATTACACCAAATTGATATAATTTTTTGATCCAACTTTTTCATGATTTTTCATTTATTTAATGTTTTCCATTGAACTCCTCTCTCTCTCTCTCTCTCTCTCTCTCACACACACACACAACGCAAAATAAGTAAAAAACCGGAAAACCACAAAAAAATGGATAAAAAATATCAATTTGGAGGTCAAATTAATGAGAAAAATATGATTGTTTTTGTGGTGTAATTTAGTTCGCTCGATTTTTGTTTATATATTCTTCTTTTTTGAGTAAAAAAAAATAGTGGGGGTGAGGTTTTTTTTTTTAATTTTTTACAAGTATTGATGAAAACGTCCATTTAATTATATCTGTTGAATCAGGTAATCTAATGATGATAAATATAATTTTCTCCTGAACTACATTATATATAAAATATGTGTGTGTGCGTGCGTGCGTGCGTGCTCGTGTAGACGAATGTAATATATTTTTCTCAAAGAAAATATAGTATATTAAAATTAAACTTAAAGTATAATTATTAATAAATATTAGAGTATAATAATTAATTTATTTATTTAACTCAAATTATAAAAAAAATAATTTTTGGACTTAATCATGGATTTGGTCCCTGTGGTATGTGTGGTTTTTACGAAATTGGTCCCTCGAGTAAAGACAAAAAAGAAAAAGACGAAATGTCCTCGAAGTTAACATATTGGAGTGAGGGACCAATTCGTTACAAAACGCCGAGTCCTAATATGTAATAAATGAAGTTCAGGAACCATTTTCGTAAAAACCACCAAACCACAGGGATATGTAATATACTCTAAAACAAAAATTAATTATAAAAAAGTACAGTCTATTAGATCTGACACACAATTGGTTTTTCAGAACACCCAAGTGCTTTTTTCCTTCTTTTCTGGTATGATTACCAAAAAATTAAATGAGAGCCAGAGGGATTCAGACATGCAACATGTAATGCCATATGCAATGACACTACCAGTAAGGTTAGCCATTTTCTTGTTAAACTTTGAGGAGCACACATCAAATTAAAGTGGATGCATCTTTAAGACTCCTGAAAATATTTCCACGACGTGGACACAATAGAGCAGTAGCACGGGCACTCCTTCCATCCTTCTTAAATCCGCCCATGGTTTTACTGGTTACTACAGCCATGTTCGTTTGTGTGTATTACCACCCTTCAATTTCGGATAGAGGTGGTAATTAAACTAGTTTGCCGTCATTCTATGCATGTGTAGGTAATTGAATTTTCTTGTGTAATGCCATTCAGTTTCTTTCGGAATTTGTATGTATTTATATTGTTGAGGCTGTTGATTAATTGTGCAGCAACATAGCTTCTGGAGATAAGGCATTTGTTGTATTATGATTTTGTGCAATGAATGCAACGATATTGACATAGGAAAGTATTATCCATAATTGATAGATGCATGTGGTCCTGATATATACAGGTGAGAGATGGGGGCTACGATTACAAGGTGAATGAAACTGTGAATGTTGTGACTGCAAAGACAAGTGAAATTGGACAAATGACATGGGGAATCATGAGAGGTGTGATGGCATTGGCCTCACAGAAGGTTGAAGAGTACACAAAAGAAGGTCCCTCGTGGAAGAGTGATGATTGGCCAAGAAACGAAACACAAGGAGGGGATGGGTTTTATCAGGAATCCAAAGGTTGGAATTCTAATGCCGTCTCTGTCAGCTCATCAGGCAGGAATGTGAACTCTGTTGGTTCAGGAGGCAGCGCTTGGGATGATTGGGATAACGATGGGTATAGAAAACCTGATTCAGGAACTGCATCTAATAACGGAGGGGGGGACAGCTGGGCAGGTTGGGACGACGATAAAGATGGAGACGACGATTTCTACCAGACCCCATCAAATGGTAAAACCGCTGCTGCTGCTGCTGCTTCAAGTGGGAAATCAGACGGAAACTGGTCTGGCGCAGGCTTTCTCTAAGGTTAGTTCAAACCTAAAAGCTCAAAGGGTGGAGGAGAGAAGTGCGGTTTATATATGTACAATTGTGAAAAAGGTTGGGTAATTGCCCAACTTAAAAGAGAAGTAATACTATATATGTTGAAGGCTTTAAATTGTTTTCATCTTTCATTTTTATGATTCTGGTAATGTACTTTGAAATTAAACATAATTCATTTGTAACTGTTGGTACCACAAGTTGAAACTTTATAGTTAAATTTAAGCTTTCCATTTTGATTCATTATCATGGCTAAGGCATGGGAAGCGGATGGGGACTTAGCAACTGCCCGCTGGGGAATATCATCACATCTCCCATCCGAACGGGAATAAATAAATAATATATTTAATATACGAAAACATGTCAGATATCCATGAAATGTGTCTCATTCTCATGGCTAATCATGACGAATTCATTCATCTTTATAAAGAGTAAAAATGAAATTAACAGAACAAAAGATAGCATTTAATATCACAGTTTGTGCCCTTTATGTATTAACACCACTTATTTTCTGGTCCTATTTCTATACCTCATTTGCTGCCTCCTCATTTTGCCTCACAACCAAAGCAGATGCTTCTGCTTCTTCTGACTCGACCTTTTCATGTTGCTGAATCACAAGCACGGAAGACACAATACCATGGTTTGAAGATGCCAACAGGTCTCCAACTGGCCCCAGCTCCGCGTGCTCCGCTTGCCGATCAGCTAACCTAGCCACCATAGCGGTCGGGCACCGTGCTTTTCCCACCACAATCAGGTCGTACTCACCGCTTTTCCCTATCCCCAATATGCTCTCAACAACGTCCGTTCCCTTTTCTTCTTTGTATCCCACCAATCCTTCCCACCTCCTCGTAAATTCATCCATCGCCTTTTCATCACGCTCCTAAAACCACAAACGAATTCGGTTATCACAAATAAACACGTATCTTGTATGAAATGTTGTACGTTTTTATTAAACTACATGTCAAATTAAACATTGTAAAAGAAACTGTACCCTCTCTTTTTCAGGATGGTTAATTGCTGTTGAGAAGGTATACTTCTCTCTGCCTTTGCTGAGGGCCGGCTTTAGCCCAACACCGTCCTGCTCCGTCCTATTATCCTCCACGAATCTCAACACCGTCACGTTGACCGCCGGATGCTCCACCATCCTTCCACCCAATTCCAGACACTCCCGATCATCGGGGCCACCAAAAAACATCACACACGCCTTTTGTGTTGTGATGGCGGGTCCCAAGTTTTGTTGGGACTCGCCACCGAGCCCTCGATCGACTAATACCGCCACCGAGCATGGAGCGTTGTTTAGAACTCTTTGATTGACCCCTCTCCAGCCATGGCCCGCATTCTCAATCAGATACGACCCGTCCGTTTTTATCCATCGCTTGTGGAATGGCAATATGACCATTGGTACCCTCTTCTCTTTTGCCACGTGGCAAATATCCTCGTGCATCGTTGGCAATGCTGAGATGGCGGTTGTGGTCCGAACCACAACCTGGCCCATCTGAGCATAAGCTCGGAAGGCAACCGCTACTCGCTCGTGAAACGCACGAGCGCGGTTGTTAAACCGGCTAACAAACGGAAGACCGTTTCTACGAACACGTTGGACCATCACGATCGACGAAGTACGTTCCGTGAGCTCCACAAGGTGCATTATGTAGAGCTTGAGCCGGGTCTTGTTTACAGACCGAGTTGACTCAATCAAGTTGATCAACGAAGATATGTTTCCCGGACCATGGACACAGGCCAATACACGTAGTTCGTCTTTCTTCCTGGAGCAGGTGGATCTTGTGCCGCCGTTATTACGGGCAGGTTTGTAGACGGCCATGACCGTCGGAGTTGTGATGAAAGTGGTGAAAAGTGCCATGAGGACTAGTATCGCAAAAACCTCATCATTGAGAACCTGCGAAAATGGCTTACACGATCAATTCGATCGAATTGAAGAAACCCTAAAACCCTGATATCACAAATGAAGAACTGGAATTCGGAATTGAGTTGAATTGAAGAAACCCTAGAACCCTGATATCTCAAATTAAGAATTGGAATTCGAAATTTGAGTTGAAATGAAGAAAACCTAACCTTTTTTTCTTTGCCGATGTTAAGAACAATGAGTTCAACCAATCCCTTAGTATTCATCAACAACCCTAGCGTTAACGATTCCCTCACCGGAATCATGCACATCACCGCCACAATGAACGTCCCGAAAATCTTGCCACTACACGCCGCCGTGATCACCATTGCTAGTAGTCCCCATGCCTTCCCTCCGCTGATCTTCGTGACGTCGGTTTTCAATCCACTGGAAGCAAAATACAATGGGAGAAGCAATCCAGAGACGAAGTCTTCAATTCTTTCTATTAATTTCTCGGCGAAATCTCCCTTAGGGATCGTTAATCCGAAGATAAAAGCTCCGAAAATGGCATGTATGCCGATGAGATCTGTAATGAAGCCGGAGACCATAACGGTGGCTAGTGTCAAGCAAATGTAGGCTTCGTCCACCGTGTCGTGTTCCGGTGAGGACCGATGAGCCACCCAGTTCATGGCTGGCCGGATTACAACCATCATGAAGATCACAAACGCGACTCCTGATAAAAATTCAAAAACGAACAGAAAATTATTTACAAAATGATAAAAAGTTCATTTACCTGTGATTGTGTGAAAATGATCTTGTGATGCATGGAAGAGAAAAAGTAAACGAAAATGGAGAACCAAACCTGAGAGAAGAACCCATACGGAAATCAATGGGCTTTTATGAGGCCCACCGTCTTCTCCTTTTCCGGCAAGTGCGACGGCGAGTGCAAGCAGAATCCATGCTACGATATCATTAAACGCGGCGGCAGCCATGGCGGTCTCGCCTACTCTGGTGGTTAAAAGCTTGAGTTCCGCCAGAATACGTGCGAGCACCGGAAAAGCTGTGATGGACAGAGCCACACCCATGAACACAAAGTACTCAGCATAGCCGACTTTATCAGCTCCGTCGATGGTCTTCCGGAGAACGAACGCAACTCCGATACCCAGTATGAACGGTAGTGAGATTCCGGCGGCTGCTATTGCAAATGCTCGTTTTCCACTCCGACGGATCGAGCTCAGATCAAGCTCCAGGCCAACTAGAAAGAGGAAGAAAAGTAAGCCAATGGTTGCAACAGATTCGAGGATCGGAAGGCTCCAACGGGGAAAAATCCGGTGCATGTACTCTTGATTCCGGCCTAACGCCGACGGCCCCAAAAGAATTCCACCCTGAAATTAGAAGAACGAAAAAAGTAATTAAAGATTTTAAACGTTGAATGCATGTGGTAGAGAAATGAAACACATACGACGATCTCGGCGATGACTTTGGGTTGCCGGAGAGGTTTGAAGAGGAAGGCGAGGGAGCGGCTGACGGCGAGGACAAGGGCAGTTTGGACAATTAGCAATGGAAAGGCATAGTCAAAAGGGTTGTCACCTTGCCAAACTCCATCCGATGCGGTTTTGATTGAAGTTATATTCACCGTCATCTCTGCTTTTCTCAACGATCAACACACTAACCGGAGGTAGACCATGGTTTTACTTTTATATATAGATAGAGAAGCACACACGTGGCTTGTTTTTATTTGATTTTGGTTTTAACTTTTAATAAATTTAAATAATGGATTCTTTTATTGATCTGGATATTCAACATGTTATATCTGAGTCGACTAATCCTAAGACGACCACCTGCTTTACAAATAGCTCGAAGTCACTGCAGTTAAACCTCCATGGCCAAAAAAGAATTTTTATTCTTCATTGGATTTGAACCTAAGACCCCCTGATATTTTACTGGATAAAGACCGATCGATCCTAATATTGTTATGTTGGACTTTTGTTTTTTCATATCATCTATTTGGTTGGACAGGACGAAAATGCTAATTCCTAAACCAAAAAGAGCTTGTACAAGATAAGACATGTCCGATTTTATAACTTTTTTCTTTTTCTAAAAAAATTGTCAGTTTTTTAAAATGAATCAGATAGAATTCTCGTACTGGATTAGATCAAACTTCTTTTGAACCAAACTCAGCTCCATCTTTTTCATGAACTTATTGAATGCGTCTCTCTCATATTTCACTAGGACCAGTTCATATACGATTCTAATTACTAAAAGCTACACACTTGCAATTCTATATGTAAAATATGTTCATAGACGGACCTAGAGGGGTGGTTAGGTGGCACGTGCCACCGTATTGTTCCTCCTTGGTAAGGTAAAAAAATATTAGGTTCGTGAAAGGTGCAACCGTTTTATTCAAAAAAGTACAACCGTTTTATATGGTGCCACCGTATCCAAAAATTATTGGGTCTGTCCCTAAATATGTTTAAACCCTTTCTTAACTATTTTACATTTCCTTAAAGAAACCAAATTATAAAACTAAGGATTTGTTTATTTACCTCTTAATAGTTCCACTAAGAGGCAACCTCTAAATTGTTAAAAGGTGAACTTGTTTGGCAAAAAAAAATCTGTTTCTTAATGGTTCTAAAACCCTCTGAATGATTTTGTATCATGGATCTCCCTTAACCATTAAGAGCCCTAATTCATTGTACATAATTACCAAACAATTATATTTCATTTTGCACTATATCATGAGAGTCTTTTAATTATTCTGACAACTTAATCATTTTGCACCAAACCATTCAACAATTATCAAACACCTCCTAAATAACTAAAATATTGTATGGAAAGCATACATATAGTTTTGAATAAGTAAAAGGCGATTTTTAATATTGTCATTAGAATAATTTAATTAGAGGTTTATATAAAAAGTATACAAATTAAATAGGGAAAGTTATACCTTTAAAAACCATTTAACAAAAAAAAAACTAATTATTAAATAATTTATATACAAAGTTAATAGAATATAATTCTAAATTTAATTAAAAAAATATGAATACAACATTTATGAAATCATTAAATACAAATCATTAATTTATTAAAAGTTGTGGTTTGTTAAGTTTTTAAATTTGTTGTTGCTGAAAGCATGTTTCATACATATAAAACAGCAGAAGATGAAATAAGCTTCATGTTATAAGAGTAGTCTTTAAGAGCATCTCAAATCCATATTTTGACCAAGGTTCTAAATGACGTGAGGTGTGGGTTAAACCTCAAGCTTTACAAGTTACGATAAGGTCATGACGTTTTTCAAGATCTGCCCTAAGGCGGCACACACTTACTTTTGTATGTGTTAGTGTTTTGAATGATAATTTTGAACAAATTAAATTCATATAAAGTAAAAAAAGTCTCTGCTTGACTTTTCGTGTATAGGAATATTAGCAAATATTTACCTATTTAAGGTTTTAGTTTTTAAGTTTTCTTGTTATGTTATTTAAGTATTAGGTCTCATGAATAATTCAGTTGTCATACAAATTAGTAATAAAGTGGCCCCACACCTTACAAAATAAGGCGTCGTAGCATGCTTTAACGGGTCATAACGCGTTACAACGTAAGCCTAACCTTAGAGTGGAGTCATGGAGGTTGACGCAACGACATACCCAAGCCTTAACGCCATAACAAAGCTATAACGAGTTATAGAACCATGATTTTAACTCACTCTGTATTCTAATTTACATTATATAATTTGTTAGAATAGGTTTAAAGAAAAGCCAAAATTCAAAAAAGAAAAGAAAAAAATAATTGTTTACGATCCGATCCGATCCGATCATGCAACGAACCGTGTTAGCCGAGACTATTCACCCTATTTTGGACGTGTCATGCTTTTGTCGGTAGTTTTGTTTTATTTTATTTTTCTAAAAACTTCATTAATACTATATTTCTAAAGACTTAATCATCTTCAAATAGAACTCCATATTTTTATATATGATTAATTGTAAAAGAAGAGTACTCACGCAATGCAGCGAGATACATCTCGATTTTAATGTTTTATTTTATTCTTTGTCTTTGTTGATATTATAATACGATTTTATATGTTTTTAAGAAAGCAATAATGATTTTATTTTTGAATAAAATATAAATTTAAAGATATCATAAAAGTTTAAAAAAATATAATAAATGTTACTATCTAAAAATTCTCATTTT